TAAACGTATTAAATAAATTTAAATTGTATGTGAGAGGCATTGTCAAAGGGAAGATAAGAATCAATCACGAATTGTGTGAAATGAAATTCTAAGACTATCATATTACTAAGCATTCAAAATCAAAATAACATCTTTAAGTTTTTTCTTTCTAGATCACAATACTTTGGTTAATCAGGTGGAATATTTTGTAAAATTCACCTATAAATCAATATATTAATTATGACACATAAGAAAAAATCTACGTAAATAGAATAAAATTAGTGTAACTTTTATAATGAATGTCTATCAACACTCTGTTAATAATTCTCCTTCCATATTTGTGCCTGATATATCGGTGCTTCCAAAATTAATAATTCTCCCTACAATCAAATTGGAACTTGTACAGTAGGATACCTAAATTCATCAACGGTCGACGGATACCGCGGACGACAGATTGGCGACCCATCTTACGATCACAATGTCACGATCGCAGGAGTAGCGAACACTTCTTAACGTCAATCGTTTGTTGAGGTCGACACCCATTTTGTTGATGTCGACATACTGGTAGTCGACAAGCCAGCTACGATGTCCCGACATGTATCGCTCGCACGACATTTCATATGTTTATGTCGACACAAACAGTGGTCGACATATAGTGAACGATATCATAGTAAACGGTTCAGCAGTTAAGAATAAGCAGTTACAAATATTAGCTAACGCCACGAATCACGCAAGTAATTGACTCAGTATCAAACACGACCTAGCAGTTACAACTTCCAAGTAGTCCACTTCGGTAAACTATCCGGATTTCCAGGTAAACGGTTTATTTTCCTGTTTTAAATATACAAAGCACACCAGAAAAAAGGTACGTTTTTCCCCTTAGAGAAATTAAGAGAGAGAAATTATTCTTCTGCTTGATCACTTTGAACCAAAAAGATTCAGGTGACCCCTTTTCTGACTTGAGCGTCGGAGTGCCTTTGCAGGTACCCAGCTCATTTTCCCCTCAGAGAGGATAACGTAGGAAGAGAGATATCACAGTAACAGCATCACAGGAAGGAGCAGTGGAGGTTTGTTAGGTTCGTATCTCGGTTTCACATCCATACAGAAACATTTTGGCACCCACCGTGGGGCCGAGATTTAACATCCCAACGACGACCACCGGAGCTATGGAAGACTTCAACACTCGTGATTTGATCCAGCAACTGCAAACCCAGATCGAGGCACAAGCACAAACTATACGGGAGCAGCAGGAACTCCAGCGCAAGCAGGCGGAGGAGCTGGCAGCACTGAGGGCGCAACGCCCACCGCCAGAAGTATCTGCCTCTAATCGGAAGGATAATAATGAATCGAGTCACCATGGAGGACCATCTGACCCTTTTGGGTGGGGGGAGGAAAGGGCCTACTTCCGTGTGCCTCACCAACTTACTCCCGTTCACGGAGGCCATCATGCAAGCGCACATGCCGGATAAACCTCCCCCAGCGTTAGAACGTTATGATGGCTCCGCCGATCCCGACAATCACCTGCGCAACTTTGTAGACGCCATGGCGTTCTACACAGATAATGACCCTGTCATCTGCAGAGCTTTCTCCTTATCCCTCAAGGATGAGGCCTTGGAGTGGTTCCACACTCTTCCACGGAATTCAGTGGATTGTTTTGCGACAATTGAAACTCGGTTCAGAAAACAGTACGCAACCAACCGAAAACCGGAGATGACAGCTGCTGAGCTTGTGAATACCAAGCAGGAAAAGGATGAAACACTAAGAGCGTTCATGCAACGATACAACGAGACGGCCCGGCGTGTGAAAGATATCAATCACACTTTCATTATCAGCAATCTACCTTCTTGCTTTAGGCCAGGATATTTTGCAGAACAATTATATGCTGACCCTCCAGCATCTATGGAAGAACTGCAATCCACAATTGCAAAGTTCATCCGCATCGAGGATCTTCGAAATTGTCGGAAGAAGCAGCAGCAAGATACCTCCAGTCATGATGTAAAGAAAACCGCAAAGCGATCGACTAACGACTATAAATCAGACCGACCGCCCCGAAAAGAGTCAGGGTGGACGCCTAAGTACGATCGTTACGCAACCCTCAACGCACCCAGAGCAAAGGTGCTGGAGGAGGCTTTGCACGCAGAACTCCTAATTGTGCGGCGACGAGCTACTCCCAAGAACGCGGACGGCAGCAAGACCTGCCGTCTCCACATGAATCGTGGGCATGACACAGAAGAATGCAACTTGGTGAAAGACGAGCTGGATCGACTCATCCGAGCAGGCTACCTCTAGAACTACGTTAAGGACAAAATTTCTACCCGAGCCATAACTCCTCACCGTAAGGATCCCTCCAGACGGAGCCCTGAGCGATCGCCTCCCAGGGATGACCGACGCTGCAGGCGATCGCGCAGTCCACCTCGACGAACGGAGAGAGAACGTTCAGTCCGAGGTCGAATTGACACCATATCGGGTGGTTTTGCCAGGGGAGGAGTGTCGTCCTCCGCCATGAAACGGCATCTCAGACAGTTAAAGTCAGTACACATGGTGGATCGACAGACTCGGTCTATTCCCGATATTACCTTCACCAATGCAGATTTCCATGCGCCCGACCCTGATCACGATGACCCCATGGTCATCACTGCTGAAATAGCTCGATACGACGTCAGCAAGGTACTTGTCGATCAGGGGAGTTCGTTCAATATCCTATACTGGTCCACCTTCAAAAAGATGGATCTATCCGAGGACCTTATTGCTCCTTTCAACGAGCAAATTGTTGGCTTTGCAGGGGAAAGAGTCGACACCCGAGGATACCTCGACCTTCGAACGCGTCTTGGAACTGTTCGAGAAGCACCGTAACTTAGATTCCGCTTTCTTTTAGTCGAGGCCAATACATCATACAACGCCTTGTTGGGTCGACCTTGTTTGAATGCATTTGGAGCCATTGTGTCCACCCCCCACCTGGCCATGAAGTTTCCCACGGAACGTGGCACCATTTGCACCGTAAGAGCGGATCAGCGAACGGCTCGACAGTGTTATGTGGCTGGTCTTAAGGTCACCCCTTTTATCCCAACCAAAAGGACGAGAGGAGCTGAAACAGCGGCGGTCGACTTGGACCCCCGAACTAACATAGATGAGCGTCTCCATCCACAAGGCGATGTCAAACTCCTTTCATTGTCGACGGACGCCTCCAAAAACACAAACATTGGCGCGAACCTCGCTTTGAAAGATGAACAGGATCTGGGACATATGCTCCGAGCAAACGCAGATTTATTCGCCTGGACGGCCTCCGATATGCCAGGAATCCACCCCGGGGTCATGGCCCATAAATTGTCTATCTTCAGAGAGGCACGCCCAGTCGCGCAAAAGAAGAGACGGTTCGGAGAGGAGAAGCGCAAGGCCATTCAGGTCGAGGTAGAGAAGTTGATGAACGCCCAGTTCATCAGAGAGTTAAACTACACTACGTGGTTGTCGAACGTAGTCATGGTCAAGAAGTCGAACGGTCAGTGGAGAATGTGTGTCGACTTCACCGACCTCAACAAAGCGTGCCCTAAGGATTCATATCCCTTGCCTAGCATTGATCGGTTGGTAGATGGAGCTTCCGGCCATGTTGTACTCAGTTTCCTCGACGTATACTCGGGCTACAACTAAATCCCCATGTACGCACCTGATCAAAGCAAGACAACTTTCATTACCAAGCGCGCCAGTTATTGTTATGAAGTAATGTCGTTCGGTTTGAAGAATGCCGGGGCGACATACCAGCGCCTCATGGATAAGGTTTTTCATCATCAGATAGGTCGATGCATGGATGTTTACGTCGACGACATGGTCATTCGGAGCCATTCTATGGAGCAACATTTACAAGATTTAGAAGAGGTGTTTGGCCAAATCAGAAGGTACAGCATGCGCCTCAACCCTTCTAAATGTACCTTCGGAGTCCCTGCAGGTAAGTTTTTGGGTTTCATGCTTACTCGTCGAGGCATCGAAGCCAACCCAGATAAATGCAAAGTTGTACTCGACATGACAGCCCCAGCAACTCTCAGGGAGGTACAACGGCTGGTTGGAAGACTCACGGCCCTCTCTCGCTTCATTCCGAAGCTAGCCGAACACATCAAACCAATCCTGAAGAACATGAAGAAGGGCACCACACGACACTGGGATGATGACTGTGACACAACATTCAACACTGTCAAGCGCATTCTCACTAGTCCTCCAATTATGGCTAGACCGGACACTGGGTCCGACTTACAACTGTATATCGCAGCATCCCACTCCGCTGTCAGTGCTGCCCTAATACAAGAAGCACCGTCCCTCAAGTTAATATACTTTATCAGCCGTACGCTACAGGGGGCGGAAGAAAGATATTCTCGCATTGAGAAAATCGCACTAGCTCTACTCACAGCTTCACGTCGACTCCGACCTTATTTTCAGAGCCACCAAGTAGTAGTCCGTACCGATCACCCGATCGCCAAGATCCTCCGCAAGCCCGACTTAGCAAGAAGGATGGTTTCTTGGTCCGTAGAGCTTTCCGAGTTCGGTTTACGTTATAAGCCGAGGGGCTCCGTCAAGGGTCAGCATTTAGCGGATTTTGCAGCCGAATTAATACCCGCACCAGATGACTCTACACCAAAATGGCTCCTCAGTGTAGATGGATCCTCCGATAAAAAGGGGGGGAGCCGGGGTTGTCCTAGAAGGACCACATGGTTTCATTGTAGAACAAGCCATCACATTCAAATTTTCTGCTAGCAACAACCAGGCCGAGTACGATGCCTTGATTGCTGGTCTATCCTTAGCCAAAGAGTTCACAATCACTCATCTAGAATGTCGGATGGATTCAAAGTTGGTGGTCGGCCACGTGAACGGGACTTATCAGGTTAAAGATAATCAATTACTGCGCTATTTCCACAAAGCTCAGACTCTACTTCAGAATTTCTCTGAAATCAACATCGTCCATGTCCCCAGGGAGAAAAACACGAGAGCAGATCTCCTGTCCAAGTTAACTCACTCTAAGGAGAGAGCACAGCTGTCGTCAATCATCAAGATGACGCTCGATCATCCTGTTGTGGAAGCTTTTGTCACCGATGTGTCGACTCCTGCCACATACTGGCGCCAGAAGATCAGAGATCTAATGGTGCTACAGGAACAGGGAGAGAGCATTAGTTTGGCTGATTCAAAGCGAATTGCACGTTTCTCGTGCATCGGCGACGACTTATACCGCCGCGGCCACAATACTCCTCTATTGAAGTGCATATCAGAGGAAGAAGCCGACTACGTCTTGCGCGAACTGCACACAGGTGTATGCGGATTCCATTCGGGTAAGCGAACGCTCAGAGCACGCGTACTCCGCGCCGGATATTACTGGCCTACGCTCGACCAAGATTGTGAAACATTCGTTAAGAAATGTATATCCTGTCAGGCCCACGGTCACGACATCCACGCACCTCCCGAGGACTTGCATGGTATCATTTCCCCCTGGCCCTTCGCTCAATGGGGTCTCGACATAGTTGGACCTTTACCCCTTGCCAAAGCGCAGAACAAGTTCCTTCTTGTGGCAGTCGACTATTTCACAAAATGGATAGAGGCTGAGCCGTTATCCGTCATTAGTGCTCAGCGGATACAGAAGTTCATCTGGCACCTGATCTGTCGATTCGGACTACCGCATAAAATCATTACCGACAGCGGTCGCCAGTTCGTCGAGCGCAAACTAGAGGCATTCCTCAGCAGCTTAGGCATTAAACATGTCACCTCCTCAGTCGAGCATCCTCAAACGAACGGCCAGGCCGAGGCCGCAAACAAAGCCATACTTACTGAGTTAAAAAAGCGACTCGGCGAAGCCAAAGGTTTGTGGGTAGAAGAGCTACCAGAGGTCTTGTGGGCATATCGGTGAACTCCACACGGATCTACAGGGGACACACCATTCAACCTGACTTATGGCACTGATGCCATGCTCCCGGTCGAGGTCGGTGAACCCTCGTTAAGACGACATATCACTGATATGACGCTTAATGACGAACAAATACGGGTGAATCTCGACATTCTTCCTGAGCGTCGAGAGGTTGCTACCATCCGCGCAGAAGCTCAAAAGCGAATGCTATCTCGCCGTTACAACACCAAAGTCAAACCCAGAGCGTTCAAAAGTGGCGATCTGGTTTGGAGAAAACGAGGAGAGGCTAGGAAGAATCGAGCGCACGGCAAGCTAGCCACCAACTGGGAAGGCCCATTCCGCATCGCCGAGGACATGGCAAATGGTGCATACCGCCTCCAACTCCTAGACGGACAGGCCATTCCCAACACGTGGAATGCTACCCATCTTAAATATTATTTCAGTTAGCATTCAAGCAGGCTACCTCCAGAACTATGTTAAGGACAGAATTTCTACCCGAGCCACAACTCCTCACCGAAAGGATCCCTCCAGACGGAGCCCTGAGCGATCACTTCCCAGGGATGACCGACGCCACAGGCGATCGCGCAGTCCACCTCGACGAACGGAGAGAGAACGTTTAGTCCGAGGACGAATTGACACCATATCGGGTGGTTTCGCCGGGAGGGAGTGTCGTCCTCCGCCAGGAAACGACATCTCAGACAGTTAAAGTCAGTACACATGGTGGATCGACAGACTCGGTCTATTCCCGATATTACCTTCACCAATGCAGATTTCCATGCGCCCGACCCTGATCACGATGACCCCATGGTCATCACTGCTGAAATAGCTCGATACGACGTCAGCAAGGTACTTGTCGATCAGGGGAGTTCGGTCAATATCCTATACTGGTCCACCTTCAAAAAGATGGATCTATCCGAGGACCTTATTGCTCCTTTCAACGAGCAAATTGTAGGCTCTGCAGGGGAAAGAGTCGACACCCGAGGATACCTCGACCTACGAACGCGTCTTGGAACTGGTCGAGAAGCACCGAAACTTAGAGTCCGCTTTCTGTTAGTCGAGGCCAACACATCATACAACGCCTTGTTGGGGCGACCTTGTTTGAATGCATTTGGAGCCATTGTGTCCACCCCCCACCTGGCCATGAAGTTTCCCACGGAACGTGGCACCATTTGCACCGTAAGAGCGGATCAGCGAACGGCTCGACAGTGTTATGTGGCTGGTCTTAAGGTCACCCCTTTTATCCCAACCAAAAGGACGAGAGGAGCTGAAACAGCGGCGGTCGACTTGGACCCCCGAACTAACATAGATGAGCGTCTCCATCCACAAGGCGATGTCAAACTCCTTTCATTGTCGACGGACGCCTCCAAAAACACAAACATTGGCGCGAACCTCGCTTTGAAAGATGAACAGG